CAAATATAAGTATATATATGTATATATATATATATATATATATATATATATATATATATATACATATATATACATATATATATGTTGTACATTTTACCTATACAGTGGGAGAGAAAGAGGATGCTGAAGTTGTTAGTTGCATCAGTGGCGAGAAGTAATGTAACAATCAGAAGGCGCATTCGAGCGTTATTTGCATACCTTTAAAAATAGGAAACAAATAAAAATTTTTCACTCGCTGATACATTAAAATGAAGAACTAGAAATGCCAGCGATTACAATTTGGGTTTAAATTCAAAGATTGAAGAAGTCTTGGTAAAGCAAACTCTACAAATTCGTCTTCCGTCTCTGTTTTGCCAGCATAAGTCACCTGCTAAAGTACTTCGTATCAGAAACAGAAAGGCAGAAGAGTGACTTATGTGGTTTAAACAAAGAGTTGCAACTAAAACTGTGCAAATTGGTGGGCAATTATTGTTATAATAACAATTATGATTATAACAATATGAAGTTCATCCTTACCAAAATCGTTGATTGCGCAGCTGAGAAGAATACACGACATAGGGCTGAATGCAAGGCACTGAACTGCTTCATTGTGTCTAAAAATACATATGTTATGATAAACTACTGCAGCGAGCAAAATCAGAATTATTGGACGTTGAACACTAACAGTTCACAGTATTATGTACGAATCTCTTATCTGTGCACATTTTTGAAGAATCAGAAAAGCACATTAAGGGCACCACGGTATCAGTTTGTCAAGAAAATTCAGCTGCAGACCCGAAAAATCAGGAGTGATTTTGGAAACGTCGATTTCGTGAGGGGCTGAAAAAAGAGTTTGCTTCCTGCCTGGATTCAAATTCGGGCTAATTTTATGAAATGAGAAGGTGAGTCAATAAACAAAATTTTTGATAATGTCATTTGGCCACGAAAAATTATCCAAACTTTGTGCGCAAAGCATATGATTTCCTGCTGCTCAATCGCTTGAATAAACATCGTCTGTATGTCATAAATCCGGAGCGAATTAAGACATGCAACCATAATATTAATGCTTCTCACGGGTTAATTCGATTAATATGAAATCACTATACAATCGTGATGTGTTTTAATGGACACCCGCAACTGCTTATGGCAAAAATGTATAATGGGATCGGCCCTCAGTGCATTCCACTACTTATATAGCTCGGAAGTGTTCCTTCCAGTTGATTACTACACTCCAACTTTTTGAAAAGCTTCAGGTCGCTTCCTCTCAGATCACGTCTGTTTATATGTCAGTAGTAGCACCGGCCAGACTGACACTGATTCGAATCATTCAACTTTAGCTAGACAAGATGCGGTGCAGCCTCCTCTCGACAATATGCAGCCCGTTACCGAGTTAAGAAATTGTAGCAAATATCTCTCTATGCATATATATATATATATATATATATATAT